CATTCAATGTAAAAACTAAGGAAAACAAGTAAGTTTATCAAACTTGCTACAAAGTTTAGGAAAACTGGTGATGACCAGGCAAAGGTGAAACGAGTCATCAAACCGGAAACCATTTGTGGTACAGAAATAAACACGTTTTTATGTTATATTTTTTATGTCATCTGCTTAATGGTAATCATGGTGTAATTAAGACATTTCAGGTTTTTAAATCTACTGACCGTTTCAGTTTATTTTGAATCGCAAAATTTCTTCTGTTCGTTTAAAACTTATGATCTTTTCATTGAAAATGAATTTATTGACTTTCGTACATTCATTCATTTTCGATGCCAGCTTTCCTTTTGAAGCACTGTGCAACTGCTTCAGAATATCTTGCAGTAGTTTCGGTCCGTCGCCTAACGAACGAGCCAGGCGGTCTCGATTCCGCGACGGACAGTCATGGAAGAGAGTATGGCTATGTTCACATCTGATCCATTCTCCGACTTCTGCAGTGCCAAAAACTCCCCATTGAGTCTTGGCATTTTTCGATAACTCAAACCTCCACAATTTGTAACTTGCAGATCGAATAAACTCCATGAAAAGCCATGGCTGTGCCTACGCCAACAAGTTCATCAAAATGCGGGCACATCAGTTATTATTAGAAGTGCGGAGTTATCACTCATCTGCCAAAATCAAAAAAGTTTGAAATCTGAATCATCGCTGAAAAACCAATAGCATGGATTAATCGACTGAATCAAGTAGGCTTCAAAATGAGCACTCAGGCGCTGAAAATATTTTGCGCTCTTGCAGAGATACATTGTAGATCTGTGATCTTAAATGTATATCTAGTTAACACTGAAATGTGGTACCTTCAAAATGAATTTGCCTCATAATCAATCGTTACAAATGGTTTAATTTATCTGTTGCTATGATTCAGATTATCTACAATGAATATTGTTCTTGAACTATCTCATTTTCAGGTGATCTCTTGGTGATTCTTGCTCAGATTGTTGTAGCTGTCCAAATGGTATACGAACAGAAGTTCTTATGTAAATACAACGTATACCCCCTTTTGGCAGTTGGACTTGAAGGTATGTGAACAGATGTGCCGTAACTGGATTTCATGTCGGTTCTTTCAGTAGTATAAAGTATTGACTGTTGCTCATTTGCAAATGTGCTGTTTCAAAGCGTAAAATGAAAATACCAGAGATATGCTTATTATATACTTATTAAGGTGGCTACTTTCAATGTGTGCTTGAGCTATCCATTCATATATCTGTTCCAACGCTAATCCCTAGAGCCAGTTATTCCTGCGGCTATTATCTCGGAAGCTTCAGGTGATTTTTTCGTCAATCAGGCAAACTTCAAGGCCTGGATTCAAATAGACAACACTACCAGAGGTTGAGTATACTTGGGCATCCTGTCCTAGGACATGGTGTGCCATGTGCTCTAGCACTAGAATTTAGTCTTTTCAATTTCTTTCTTTTCAGTCACCATCTGTTGCAATGAAAGGTTACCCACAAACGATGCTCTCG